GAATCCATTTCGGAGACATTCGCTGCTGGTGTTTCAGTCTGGCAAAACTTAGGAAAATCTGCTTTTGTTCATGGCAAAAAAATAGTAACCTCAAAGCCCAGAGAAATTAAATGAATAGTTCTTCTCCATCTTGCAGGGGCGGGGGGGGAGAGCAAACGTTCATATGGACGTTTGAAAATACTCATATGGATGGAGGCTTCCAAGGAAGAAGGTGTCACGAAATCATCTGTCTACAGCAGCTTTCATTCCACGTGTAGCTAATTAGTGGCTTATGATGTATTGGCTCATGTCGCACTGGAGCTAAAGACGACGTTTTGTTCTAAAAGAGCCATCAAGGGAAGGAGACTTCCAGACTACCAGGAACTACCGAGGCATGGAGAGAAGCAGGAAACTATTACCCAACTGTCTATGAGTGTTGTCTTATTTAACTAAAACGTGCTGCTTCCATGGAACTCCAGATGCAACATAGGAAATGCCTAAAAGATTCTTAGCAAGACAACAGATAACCGTTCCTCGCCCGGAAGCTTAACAGAAAACCCAAATGTTTCCACCCCAAGATACGACAGTCACCGGCTGATTTGGAGGGGCATCATTCCCGATGCCTTTTCTCTGCACGTCTCCTACAGAGCGTGCAGAGAGACTGGCCTAGTGATCAGAAAGAAGAATCAATTATAGAATGTTGTCATGCTGAAGAAAACAGGAGTAAAAGAAATGAGAAAATGTGTACGAGGAGGAGAACGGGACCGGTTCAAGGAATTTTGGGGCTTAAAGTAGAAAAGCTAAAGGCATTCTTCTTCTAATAATTAAAGGGTTAATTATTGGGCTGTCCGTCTTAGCGGATAAAACAGGAACAAGGAAGAGACAGCCAGGAAGCGTGACTTCTATAATAGAAGGCCAGCATCTTTTACCCGGGTGATTGAACAAACAATGACTTCAAGGTAAACAGGATTATGAAAAGGAAGTATGAGCTAAAATCTAGTTTATTGGTTTGAGTCAATAAGCTATTTCTGGGCCACTTTCCGTTATTTCTAAATAAAAATTTGTGGGTTTTTTTTCATTCAAAAGTATAATAATAGCTACAGGTAGTTCTCGTTTAGTGACTGCCTCGTTTAGTGATGTTCGCAGTTACGACAGTGATGAAAAAGTAGCTTTGCGACCAATCCTTGCATTTACGATCTTCGCAGGTCTGTAAAGGAAAGGAAAGCTGAAGTCAGCTCATAAGCACAGCCACGGTTTCACTTAGTGATGACTGAGTTGCCAGTCCCAGTTGCAGTCATTAAACGAGGATTACCTATATTTGGTACAAGATTCATCCTACGGCAGATCCCCACTTGCCAATGAGATGATGTTTATTCTCCTGAGGAGGCCCCAAAAGTATACAGTTTACCAAAAAGATGGAATAAATGTAAAAACATGTGTACTGTACATGGTTTAGTCTCTAAGAAAGATGCGTGCCCAGGGTAATTATCTGAGGTACTTTGAAGCATAACCATTCTTCTGCTTACAATCCAAGGATGATGAAGCATTTCAAGGTAATTAGATACTCTTTGATTTTTGCTCCTTTTTATCACCAAATATTCAAAGATGGGTAAAATCAGCCACATATCTTCCCTCTGGTTACAGGTAGCTGCGAATGTTCTGGTTGTAAAATGTTTTCCAAAAACTACGAGCTGACAGTTGTTAACATTAAAACATGGGCTTTGTGTCCCTTCCTTGCCTCTATACAACTGAATTTTGCAGTGAGGGATTTCCTGTTTCTAGCTATTGTTTAAAAATTAGATAGAATGGTGCACCCACTCTAACACTTAGCACCATTTTGAGATCAGTTCTGGACCCATTTGATGTCACAACATTGTCTGGTTTGGGGAACCGAGCCTATTTTTGTTCCAGGTTAGTGGGAACTGCAGTAAAGCTGGATTTTTTTTCTTTATATTGGTAACACTCTGCAAACCTTGTGGGCAATCTGAGCAGGAACTCTTGCTTCATTCCAGTTCATGGACCCAAGCTATCAATTCCTCTTTCTTTCTCCGTGAAGAAGTTTAGAAGCATCTCCTTCCTGGAACTTCTCTCTTCCTGTATGTATTGGCTAAAACACAACTCTTGTCTCCTCTGATCTAGCCACCAGAGTATCCTGCAACCATGGTCAGAAAACATGGGTAGTGGAACTTTCCATTTTTAAATGTTCTCTTCTTCTAAATGGAGTATGGATGAGGATGTTTTGGTTGTTCCACCATCAGTGGTAGCTCAGGATGCACGACAGTGATTGGACGTTGATCTTTGCATTCTCCTGTTGGTCAACAGGAAGATGAGAAGAACCGCGATTGGTTCATGGTGTTCTCTGCATTTGGATTTGGGCAGAATTGAAGGTGACTGAGAGTCAGTTTCAGATTATGTTGTAAGGAGGTAAAGATGGAAGTGCCCATAAATAAGTCTCTCAGCCTAATCAGTAAACGTTACAAGCCCGTATCCGGAATACTCTGTTCCAAGCTTTTCTAAATGTGGCGTCATTTGTGGTATGTAGATGCTGAACAACTTAACTCTGGAGATGTGAAACTTGTTTCCCCATGTTCACAGATTGGTCACATCAGATTTAGGGCTATAACGCATTATCAGAAAGTAAGGTTCTCATTCCTTTCCAATGTTTTAAAGTTGAATTTTCTTCACAGGTGGCAATGAGGCCATTCCCAAGGAATCCATGGTCAGTGCTGTTTTAATTAATAAGAGCATGAGAAAAGCACTGAAAGAAAGAAAGATCAATTTGCCCTGCAGTGAAAATGCACACGAAAGTTCACCATGGCGGATACACCTTGGTATCCACCGCCTGGCACATCACCAGAAACAGCCTTGTGATATCGCCCAAGACCAGCATGAACACAGCATGTTGTCTTGTGAAGAGTCATTAGAAAGCACTGAACAGGCCATTGCATTGTCCAGCAAAGAGGAAAATCCATGCCCTGTTGAAGAGACAGTTGGTTCCAACTCACCTTGCACATCCGTTACTTCCATTTGGACTTACTCTAGCCTCAACATCTCAGCTTCAAAACCAGCACCGAGTAAGCTATCTTATTACCCCTTCCCTCAGAAAAAAAACCCCAAGATTTCTGAAGCTGCAAGAAAACTTGGGCTGTATGTTTCCCGGTGAGAACTCCGCCGAGAAAAACAGCGATAGGTCTATCCGGGTTTTTCTATAGAAGTTACAGCAAGGTCCTCCTTGCCCCACCCACTGGTGTAATTGCCTGAAATATAGAGTAGCATTTCTGTTCCTGTGACACGAGAGCTGCTCTATCCACATATAAGCATCTTGGATCAATGTTTCTCTAGGGGTATGCATGCTAGTCTAAGGAAGGGTCACGTGCAATGGAAGAACTCCAGCTACTTCCAAGCTTCTGCATCTCATGTGCAGTGTGTGGTGGGACAGCAATGAAATTGTTCGCTTCTCAGGGGATTTTTTTTTTTTTTAGGTCAGCCAGCCCAATATCCCTCATCTGAAGAGGGAATTTCCATGGAGGGAAAATGGGAGGGAAATGCAATAAAGAAAATAATTGGTCACGTTGTGGCAGATGGGTGGAGGTATCTATCACTAGAAATTTCCCTCGAGATTGCAGCTGGTGGAACTCCATTGCTCCAGCCTGAAACCAGAAGCTTGAGCTAGACCCTTTAAAAACTTTAATTGTGTGTATTTTAATGTTGATCTACTCGCTATAGATTAAATTCTTAACATGTATTTTGAATGAATAAGTCTTGGACTAGCATAAACCTGTGTTTTGAAGGTCCACTGTGAAGAAAACAGTAGCCCCATGGAAGTTCATTTTATTTTCACTCTATCCTATCAATGGCTGTTGATTAGTTGTACCTCACATTTGGTCCAGTTTGGTTAAGTTCATTTCCTCATTTAAAAAGAAGAGGGTTCTGGAGGGTAAATCCCAAATATTCCCTAAACACCCCTTTATTCCTTTCAAGAACAGATGAAATGCTTTTTTTAAAAAATTAAGTGACATGACAGTGAGCCTTCCCTTTCAAAGGATCATCTTTAGGTAGTGGGATTCTGTTCCCATTGCACTGCGTAGCAACAAAAGAATTTATCACAAATATCAGCCTTTCCGTTTCCAAATTATTAACATAGCTCAATTGAGCTAAATATAGGCTTCCATGCAGGCCATGCAATCATATATATTCCTAGCTGAAAATGAGCCCGATTAGCTTTAGCAGACCTTATTTCTGAATAGACACAAAAAGAAGGGGAATTTTAAATAGCTGTCTGAATTGGCAATGTGTGATGTCGCCTCTAGAACATTAACAAAGACAATACTTTTGTTGAAT